CTCCTCCTCCTCGTCCCTCCTCCTCGGGGAACGTCGGCAGTCCTCGGGCTTGCCATCGTTCGAGAAAGGAGCGGCGCCAGTGGCCCAGCACCAGCCAACATGAGGCGAGCTGGCGATGAAAACGCCGCCCAGCGTTCGAGGTGGAACGCCCTGGGTGGCGCAGCATCGGCCGACATGAGGCGATCTGGCGATCAAAAAGACGCCCATCGTTCGAGGTGGAGCGCCGCCGGTGGCGCAGCATGGGCCGCTCTGAGGCCATTTGGCAATCAGAAAGCCGCCCATCGTGCGAGGCGGAACGCAGTCGGTGGCGCAGCATGGGCCGCTCTGAGGCGATTTGGCAATCAAAAAGCCGCCCATCATGGAGGAGGAGGAGGAGGAGGAGGAGGAGGAGGAGGAGGAGGAGGAGGAGGAGAAACGGCATCATGGCCACGAGGAGCACATGCTGGAGAAGGAGGAGGCGGAGGAGGAGGAGGAGGATTAGGAGAAGGTGGCAAGTCTTGCCTCTGGTCTTGATCCTGGTTCCGAAGGCCCCAGGAGACCTCTGGAGACCTCTGAGAGGCAAGGGGGGGGCCCAAGATCCGTGGCGGGGAATTTTCCATAACCACCGCCTGGGGGATCGATCTTCCTGGACCTCCACTGGCGGTGGATACGGATACACTCGGCCCCCCGGTGGCCAAACTACACATATCCGCCGCCCGCTGAGGCACCAGGGCTTCGGTCTCCAGGCGGTGAAGGCGCAGAACCAAGAAGGCGCAGGAGGAGGAGGAGGAGGAGGAGGAGGAGGAGGAGGAGGAGCAGGAGGAGCAGGCGGAGGAGGAGCAGGAGGAGGAGGAGCAGCAGGAGGAGGAAGAGGAGGAAGGAGGGGAGAGGAGGAGGAGGCAGACGGAGCAGGAGGAGGAGGAGGAGGAGGAGGAGGATGAGGAGGAGGAGGAGGAGGAGGAGGACCCCGCCTCGCCCAAGAGGGCGCGCAGAGCCACGGACACAGCACCGCTTCAAACCTCCGAGCGCCTCCCCCTCCGACCTCTCCCGGGGTCGAGGACAAGTCTCGGGAGGAGGAGGAGGAGGAGGAGGAGGAGGAAGAGGAGGAGGAGGATGAGGAGGATGAGGAGGAGGAGGAGTAGGAGGAGGAGGAGGAGGAGGAGGAGGAGGAGTAAGATCAGGAGGGGAACAAACACACAGAGACACAAAGCACCGTCGGTCCCTGGAAGACTTTATAAACATATGAGAGGGGGGGGGAGACGAGCACCCCAAACATATGGGAAATACTTGGAATCCTGGAAGGTGTGTCTGCATGTTTGTATGTCCCTGTGCCCTTTCAAGTAAGAAGGACGGACCCTCGGCATGGGGGAGAAGGACGGACCCTCGGCATGCAGAGAAAGTATCCGACTCAGGCACGGTGGCCTACACTCTAGACATCACACCAACGTTTTTTTCCTCATGCGAACGCTACGATCCCAGCTGATCCAAGTTTGCCTAGTTGACCACATGCGGACGAGACGAACGCTACGACGTAGACACTTAGGCACGGCCGCCTTTTTCCCGTCATATGTTCGAAGGCTACGGTCCCAGCTGATCTAAGCTCGCCTGACGTAAAAATGCTCTCGCGGCAGGACCCAGGAAAGTCTCAGCGAGATCAGGGGATCAGGCGCCGGGAGCCGGACCGTTCTGGGGGCGCCGCCAGGGGATGCCGCCGGCAGCGCCATCCTCGGAGAATTGCTAGGGTGGCTCCACGCCGCCGCTGCCGCCGCGCCGACGCCGACGCCGACGCCGACGCCGCCGCAGCAGCCGCGCCGAGGCCGACGCCGACGCCGAGGCCGACGCTGACGCCGACGCCGTCGCCGTCGCCGCCGCCGCCGCCGACAACGACGACGACGACGACGACGATGACAACGACGACGACGACGTCGACGACGACGACTGCAGGCCCAGGCTCAGGGCTCGGGAGCCAGTCCGCTCCAGGGGCCGCCAGGGATGGCGCCGCCGGGGCCGCCGTCGTGGCAGCCTCGGGGGCTGTTGCAACTGGTCTCGGCCAGGCCCAGCTGAGAGGCAAAACGCACCGATGCTGGTGCCCTTCCCCCTAGTCTTGGCTGTGGCGGGCCTCATTGGGGATCCCTTGCCGCCGCGGCTGGACTGGCCTCGGAATCTCGGTCAGAGCGCTCGCGTCGACGTGGCGGCGACACCGGCACGGGCAGTCAAGGCTGAACGCCGCCAGAGGCCTGGACTCGGCCGACATCGAACGACCTGCGCTATGGGAAAGCCGCGGCCTCCCAAGCTTTAGCGACCCGCGCGGGGTTGCAAGCCAGCGCTGGCGCCTTTGCGACGCGAGCCCGCCACAGTGCCACGAGTATCTTGCTTCGGGTCGGACGAAGTTACCTCGGCAACCAACAGCACCCGCAGCGCATAATGACTGGGTATTGGCACCGGCTTGAGGGACAGGCGAGATCAGTATTTGACATGGAGATCGCGGGGCTGCGGTCGGCACAAAGCTGCTCAGGCAATCCTGTGACATTGATGTGTAGTTTGACTGTCACCCAGGAACTGACTCAGGGGCCCTCGTGGGACAAAAACGCGTGCAGTTCGTCTTACGCCCCGCCGCCACGCGCCTTGCTCGATGCACGGTCGCCTCCGGAGCTGGGATTGAGGCCTCCTAGATGGGGTCGGAGTAGATGGGGTCGGAGGATCGCGCCGCATCGCCGATGCATCGCCGATGCGGCTCGATGTGGGGCCCGATTTGCTTCACGTCGACGTCGCCGATGCATCGCCGACGTCGACGATGCATCGCCGGTGCATCGCCGACGCATCGGCGTTGCATCGCCAATGTGTCGGCGATGCGGCGAGATCCTCCAGACCCATCTATTCAGACCCCATCTCGGAGGCCTTTATGATTTTGATGTTCCAGTCTATTTTAGCCTTGATCATCAGAAATAATTCCGAGCACCAAGAAAGTACCGAAACTGGAGGGTTTTCACGTGTCGGGCCCTTTGAGGCGATATTCGCTCGACACTGTTTCGATCCTTTCCTGGGTGCCCGAACTTCTTTCCGGGACATGGTCCTCAAGTACGGGGAGAACAGCACGACTCCTATGGGAGGTGCCGGGGAAGCCTGCTGCACGCGGCGGGGTGGCTGACCCCCCTTGGCTGTCCTCCCGTTTTATGTTCCTGGCGCGGCGCAGGGAGGAGGAGGAGGAGGAGGAGGAGGAGGAGGAGGAGGAGGAGGAGGAGGAGGAGGAGGGGGAGGAGGTGGAGGAGGCGAAGGTGGAGGAGGAGGAGGAGGAGGAGGCGCGGGTGGCGCGAGGGGGGCTTCCAAGGGGGGAGGGGCGGGGCTCTCCTGGAGAAGGGAGGGGGGCTTCCCAATTAGGAGGCCGCTCCCCGCTGAAGCTCCCTCGGGGACGCTGGGAGGGCCTCCGAGGAGCCCCCTCCCCCCGCCTTCGCCAAAAACTCGTGCGTGTGTTGTGTGTGCTGCTTGATGGCTGCGTCTGGTTTCGGGCTATACCTGTCTCGGCGAACAGATCGAATAGGACTGAGAAGAGGACACTTAATCATAGGAATCAGGAGAAAAGTATAAGCAACATCCTAAGCATACCAAAGACGAAGACAAGTCCACACATTCGTACCAACGCTCTGCGGTCCGCGCGGATCTGTTGGATCGGCGCTGGACCCCCTTGGCGGCGCCTCCAGTGCCGCCACGGGCGCGCGCAGCGCGCCAGCGACGGGGCCCCGATCCAAGAGAAGCCCGCGCGGGCCTCTGAAGGTCTGCGGCGCGCGTGTGGATGCTTCGCTGCCTGCTCTCGGAGGGCCGCCCTTCCGCCCGGCCCCCTCCCAGCCCCCCCCCCCCCCTTTTCGTGCGCGCCGCCATTCGGGCCACAAGCCGGTGCTCCACAGCCGGTGGAACCCCCCCTGGGCCCCGAAAGCAGATCAAGCATTTCCGAAAAAAAACGGGGCTAGGACGAGGATAACTCCGTTCCAGAGCCTTCCGGAACGCTCTGAGAAGGTCGCTGCGCCCGAGACATCCTCCAGAGTCGCCAGATCTCAAAGATGTTCGTCCGATCCTCGCCCGGTTTTATCCTTGTCCTGGCCTCGTCTTAGATACCTCTGAGCTCCCCTTTCCCGTGCGCGCGCCGCTGAGCGTGCCCTTCTGCGACGTCCCCCTCGCCTCGCCCGGCGTACGCAGGCGGCCCGAGGGAAGCTTGAAGAGCGAGGAAGACGTCGCGGAAGGGGATGGTCCGCCAGGGGTCGGCCAGGCCGCGCCCGACTGGGCGCGCCGCTCACCTCTCGTCCGCCCCGATTGATTGGCCAATTCTCCACCACCACTACCGTAAGTAGGAGAGAGGAGGAGGAGGCGGAGGAGGAGGAGGAGGAGGAGGAGGAGGAGGAGGAGGAGGAGGAGGAGGGGGAGGAGGAGTGGAGGGGAGCGGGAGGAGGAGGAGGATGAGGAGGAGGAGAGGAGGATGAGGAGGTGGAGGGGAGGAGGAAGGAAGAGGAGGAGGAGGAAGGAGGAGGGGGAGGAGGGGGAGGGGGAGGAGAAGGAGGAGTATGAGGAGGATGACCTCCCCATCCTCCCTCCTCCCCCGCCCTACATGTGGCAGTGGTGGCGGAAAGTTGGCCCACCACGATCTGCGACTCCGCCCGCAGGCTGCGCGGCCGCCTCCCTCTCGGCCCGGCGCGGGGCGGCGCCGCGGCCTCGCTGCTGCTGGCGCTCGTGGCGCTGGCGGTGCGCGCCGCCGCGCGCCGCGCGCCGCCGCAGCCGGCCCCCATCGCGCTCTCGCTGGCGATGCGGATGCTGCGGGAGCAGCGCGTGCAGGACGGGGCGGTTCGGGCGGGGCCAGGACGAGGACGGATCCGTTCCAGAGCGTTCCCGGACGCTCTCATCAGAGCGTGCCGGGACGCTCTGCGAGGGCCGCTTTGCAGCCGCGAGAGCTTCCAGCGCCGCCGGATCTCAGAGATTCCCGACGTATGCTCGCCCGATTTTAGCCTCGTCTTGGCTTCGTCTTAGCGGTGGAAGGGTCCGCCCTGGGGAGGGTCTGATCTCGACCTTGTCGGTCCGAACCGATGTCTCACACCAGGGCGAGTCGAGACAACTGTCGTTGGCCTTCGGGGGGGGGTCCTCGTCGTGACGGCTAGACGCAGCTCGGAAAACTGATGTGTTTGGACCCCGAGAGGGGTCGGGGAAACGAGTTTGAGTTGCGGTCGTCTCAACCCGGCCCAGATCGGTTCCGCTATCCAGCTGCCTGCGGCAAGCCCCGCTACCGTGCCAGCGCAGCAGCGCAGTGTGAAGGATGTTGAGCTAGAGACGCAAGTTGGAGCTTCTCTGGGGCCTCTTGAGGGCATCTGGGGAGCCTTTCAGGTCCCTTTGGGAGTCCCTTGCTGGTCTTTAGGGGGACCTTCGTGAGGCCTCTTGGAGGTCTCTTTGGCCTCTCGGGGGCATCTTGGGGGCCTCTGGGGGTCTCTGAGGGGCCTCCTGGGGGCATGCTGAGAGTTTGGGAGGCAATTCTGTAAGAACTTGTTGTCAAGGTCAGCTCGATGTCCCTCTCTGGTTGGGCCCCTCTTGGGGCCGTCTTGGGGGCCTCTTGGGCCGTCTTGGGGCCCCATTGGGCCGTCTTGGGGCCTCTTGGGCCGTCTTGGGGCACCCCGTGGGCCACGAACTCCCTCCTCCCCATGGGGCCAGCGGGGGTAGGGGGGGTTTTGGTCCCCCCTCCCTCCATTCCCAGTGCTGCGGTGGGGAGGTTGTCGCCCCCCTGAGGACGCCCCCCCTTCCTTGTATGGGGAGGAGCTCCAGCCCACGACGACGAGTACGACAACGACGTCGTCGATGTGGGAGTTCGTCCTCGTCGTCGTTGTCGTCGTCATCGTCGTCGTTGCCGTCGGCGTGGTTGTCGTTATCTGCTTCGTCGTGGTCGTCGTCGTGGTAGTCGTCGCGTCTGTCGTGATGGTCGTCGTGATCGTCGTCGTCGTGGTAGTGGTCGTCGTCGTCGTGTCGTCGGCGGCGGCGGCGGCGGCTGCGTCATCGCCCGCCGTCGCTGTCGGCTGCCGGCGCGCCGGAGGGGTGGGGGGGGTCGATTTCGACTCTCCCCCCCGAACCAGGAGTGGGTGGGTCGTACCCCTCCCTCTCTTTCCCGGGGAAGAGATGGGGTGGGAAAAGGGGATTCGGAGCAGCCAGAGAAGGGCCTTTGAGTTTTTTGTCCTCGGGGGTGTCCTCGTTGTGTAGCGTCCCTCTTGGGAATTCCCGCGGTAATTCATTAAGCGAACTTTACGCGCTCCCTCGACGATCCGATGCCGATCCGATTGCGCGCAGATTGAAGCGCGGTGCGGTCCGTTTCCAAACCGATCTGATCCGATCTCGCGTATACTTCCAGCCTGGAATGAAGCAAAGTCTTTCCAGAGCCTTCTGGAACGATCTCAGAGCGTTCCGGAGCGCTTTGGGACGGCCGTTGCGCCCGATATAGCCTTTGGACCCGCTGGCTCTCAGCGATTCCCGATCAACCCTCATCTGGATTTGACCGACCGTGCGGCCCGCGGGGATGGGTGGCAAGCGTCCCGCGGTGGCACGCGACCGCCCGAGGCGAAGCAACCAAAAGTGACCAGCAGCAGCAGGTGGAGCAGAAAGGCCAGGATGATCAGCAGCAGGAGCTGCAACAGGAGGAGGAGGAGGAGGAGGATCAGGAGGAGGAGGAGGAGGATCAGGAGGAGGAGGAGGAGCAGGAAGAGCAGGAGGCGGAGCCCGAGGACCTGGAGGAGCAGGAGGATGGTCAGGAGGATCACCAGCAGCACAACACCACAGCAGATCATGAGGGAGAAGAAAGGAGGAGAAGAGGGAGGGGTAGGAGGAGGAGGAGGAGGAGGAGGAGGAAGGGAGAGGAGGAGGAGGAGGATGGGGAAGGGGCAAGGGGGGGGGGGGGGGGGGGAAAGGGAAAAGGGAGGGGAAAGGGGGGGGGGGGGGGGAGGAGGAGAGGAAAGGCAGGGGGGGGGCCGGGGCAGGAGGAGGAGGGTTTGGAAGGAGCTCGTCTATACCCACGGCGGCGAGCTGCTCCTGCGGCTGAAGGACAGGCTCGACGCCGCGGGCCAGGCGCTGCCCTGCCGGGGGCACGGACCGCCGCGAAGCCCGGAGGGGGCAGCACGGCCTCCTCGACCCTCCCGCGCCTCCCCAGTGCATTCACAGGGGGCCAGTTGGGGATCGCTACTCCCCCCCCTGCCTCCCCCCTCCTCCCTCCCCCTTCTTCTTCCTCCCCCTTGCCCTTCCTCCTCCTCTCCTCTCATCCTCCTCCTCCTCCACCTCCTCCTCCTTCCTCGTCCTCCTCCTCCTCCACCTCCCTCTTTCCTCCTCCTTCTCCTCCTCGTCCGCCCCCTCCCTCTTTCCTCCTCCTTCTCCTCCTCGTTCTATCCTTCTTATCCTTGTTATTATTATGTGCTCTTCTTCGTTCGCCTTACTTTGGGCTTCAAACTGGCTGGCTGGCCCTAAACTTGGTCAGGAGCTGTCGGACGCCCCAAATTTCGCCCCTGGTGGGACATCAACACACGATCTTGGCTCGGATTCCCCTTGGACCGCAACACCTCTCCTCGTAGCCCGAACCAGGCTTAGGAGGTAGAGGTCAGCAGGAGTGGGCACATGTTTTCTGAGATCGTCCAACCAGTATTATGGTTAGTCCAACTGTGGAAGAGCCCACGCAAGGCACGATATATTTGCTGTCTTAAGTCTCTGGTGAGGTGCTGGCAGGGGCAACTCCTACAGAGAAAATCCAGGCATACCAATACATAGCCCCCGCACCTGACACACGACATCACCCATGCCACGCCCCCCACCCTCGCTCCCGGCCAGTCCCAGATCGTTATCATGAGCAGGTTGTGGCCCTGGAGTTACATGATTGTCTGAGCCTCCGTCAACTGGCGTTGGGAAGCTTCAGGCTGGGCGGTGTATATAATCAAATTAGGTACAAGAAATTGCACCAGGAATTTTGAAGTTTAAAAAAACTAGTCTGGGTGGTAAACACTCCCTGATGGGTCCACAAGTCTGCGGGGCTATCCTATTGCGAAGGCCTTACGGCCGGTGCCGCCGACCCTGAGAACGACGACGATGAAAACGAGGGGGGGGCAGGGGGAGGAGGAGGAGGAGTGGGAGATGGAGGAAGGCTGGAGGAGGTGGATGAAGGAGGAGGAGGGGGGAGAAGGATGTGGAGGATAAGCAAGAGGAGGAGAAGGAGGCAGAGGAGAGCAGGAGGAGGGGAGCGAGAGGGGGGTGGAGGAGGGGGAGCAGAAGGGGGGGGAGGAGGAGGAGGAGGAGGAGGAGGAGGAGGAGGAGGAGGAGGAGGAAGAGGAGGAGGCCAGAGACTTTCTTGGGACAGCCTGGGGCTCTCTTGAGGCCGTCTTGGGCCGTCCAGGGCTCCTCTTGCGCCGTCTCGAGGCACTCTTGGAGGCCTCCTGGGCAGTTTAAGGCACTCCTGGGTTGTCTTGGGGCAATCTTGGGGGCCTCTTGGGCCGTCTTGGAGGCGACTTGGGCCGTCTTGAGGCCCTCTTCGGCTGTCAGGGGACCCTCTTGGGGGCCTCTTGGGCCGTCTCGGGGCGATCTTGGGGGCCTCTTGAGCCGTCTTGGCGCGTCGGGAAGCGGAAGAGGCAATAACGTCAAAATCTGTCAAAAACGTTTGGGAAATCCATGAATTTTGCCTCTTGAGGCTCTCGTGGGAAAGCTCCTGGAGGCCTCTTGGGGTGCTTTGCAGGCCTCTTGGGCCGTCTGGAGGCCATCAAGGCGTCTTGGACAGATCGTTCGGCGATTCGGGGTTCTCTTGGACTGTCTTTGGGGCCTCTTGGGGCACTCTCTCTTGGTCCGTCTTGAGGCTTTTTTGGGCTCCGGGACTCCCTGGGGGGGTGTCGTATCTGACCCCCCCTCCCCCCAGGACCCCCCCCCGGGACCACCCCCAGGGACCCCCCCCCCCGGCGGGGGAAGGATCGAAGGGAAGGGGCTTCACTTCGACTCAAATACGACGTTGCTCAGCTTCGCTTTGGTTGGCGAGCTGAGGAGGTCCCTGGGAAAGGGGGGAGCTTCGACGAGCCCAGGGAAAGGGGGAGGCAGGGAAAGAGGACGACAGAGACGACGACCAACGAATGACGGAGATGACGACTTGAGCGGACAAGCTCCTCACACACGCCGACAGGGTCGGCGGATATTTTTCTGGGAGGTCAGGGTGCCTCCCCTCGAGACCGCCTCCTCACCAGACCGCCTCGCGTCGGCACTCGAGCACCGGAGGAGACGGACTGCGGTACTCCACCTTGCTGGTGCCGGGCAGCGACGCGGCCGTCTTCGCGGTCGCGGATGCCATGGGGGGCGGCGAGGCGAGGAGGTGGAGGACGAGAAGGGAAGCAGGAGGTGGGGAGCAAATGAGACTCCAAAGTTTCGTCCGCCGAGGGCGCAACCTGTGGCGCAGTCGTGAGGAGCAGAATGAGGAGTTGGAGGGGCGCTCCCGCGCTGCCGCTTGTGCCCTCAGGGGTGGGGGGGGCGAGGGCCTCGAGGGAGGAGCGCGTTCCAGAGCCGTCGTCGGAGCACCGCGGGAGTGTCGCAGCCAGACGGGCGACCAAGGGGCTCTCGCAGGCACTGCGACGGCCCCGCGGCCATGCCTGCCACCGAGTCCGTCCCGGGGCCGGCAGGACGCGGCCAACCTCTGGACTCGCACACACGAGGGGTGGCAGAGGAAGGAGGAGGCGGGGGAGGGAGGAGGAGGGAGAGGGATGGGGAGGGGTGTCCAGACATCCAGCTGGTCGAACACATGAAGGCCGCCGGTCTTTTTGCATGGTGTGGCGTTGGGGTATGGTCTTGGGCCCCGTGGTCGTCAAAAACTGGCGATGGTGAACATATGGCCCCAGTGAGGGAGTCGAGAGGTCCAGGGCGTGTCCTTCGAAAACGCCCAGCCGCTGGATTACGCTGATGATGCTGCTGATGATGATGACGACGATGATGATGGTGATGATGATGATTATGATGATGGCGATGCGAATGCTGACAATGATTATGGTGGCGATGATGGTGGTGTTAATGATGATATTGATGATGCTGAATATGATGATGCTGCTGCTGATGATGATGCTATTGCTGATGTCGATGATGATGATCAAACTTATGATGATTATGCTGGTGATGATGATGCTTGTGGTCGTGATGAGACTGGTGGTGGTAGTGGTGGTGTGATGAAGATGCTGATGATGTTGATGATTCGGATGATGATGACGATGCTGCTGCTGATGATCATGGTGGTGGTGGTGGTGGTGGCGCTGCTGCTGCTGATGATGATGATGGTGGTGCTGTTGATGACGATGGTGGTGGTCCTTATGATGATGGTGATGCTGATGAGGATGTTGTTAATGATAAGTGTGGTGATGGTGGTGGTGATGATGATGACGATGATGAGTGATGGTGATGCTGATGGAGTGATGATGCTGGAGGTGATGATGATGATGATGACTATGCTAATGATGATGATGACGACGATGCTGATGATTATTATTATTATTATTATGATGATGCTGTTGATGATGATGATGACTATGCTAATGATGATGATGCTGACGATGATGATAATGCTGCTGCTGCTGATGATGATGGTGATGATGATGATGATGCTGCTGCTGATGATGATGCTGATGATGATGATGATGATGATGATGATGATGATGATGATGATGATGATGATGATGATGATGATGATGCTGATTACGATGGCGGTGATGGTTGTGGTGGTTGGGAGAAGGATGAGGAGGAGAGGAGGAAGAGGAGGAGGAGGAGGAGAAGGAGGAGGAGGAGGCGCAGGAGTGGGTGGCGGTGGCGGAGAAGGGGGAGGATGGGAGGGGGAGGAGGGGGAGGGGGAGGAGGAGTTGGAGCAGAAGGAGGACTGGCGGGAGTTGGTGGGAATTTGTCGGTTGAGGTTGTAGTTTCTAGTGCGTTCGGTGGCTCCTGAAGGACAAGATCTGAAGCGTCCCCCAGTTTGTCGAAACCGCTCAAGCACCTCCCTCCTTGATCCTGGAGGTTGAGGGGGGGGTGCAGGAGGGGGCTGGGGCGGAGGAAGAGGTCGTGGAGGATCAGAGCGTGCTGGCTAAAGGAGAAGGGAGAGAGCGCGGAGGAAGAGGAGGAGGAGGAGGAGGAGGAGGAGGAGGAGGAGGAGGAGGAGGAGGAGGAGGAGGAGGAGGAGGAGGAGTTGCTCCCAGAAGTCCCGCGGAGGCGTCTGGAGGCTCCTGAAGGCCAGGACAAGGGCCAAAGGCGTTCAGGCTGCGCGCCGACCAACACACATCCCGATTCAAGGGCCGAGGGCGTGAGTCGTCGTCGTCGTCGTCGTCGTCGTCGTCGTCGCAGTCGTCGTCGTCGTCGTCGTCGTCGTCGTCGTCGTCGTCGTCGTCGTCGTCGTCGTCGTCGTCGTCGTCGTCGCAGCGCCGGCGTTGGCGTCGGCGTCGGCGTCGCCGTCGTCGTCGACCTCAGGACGCCGCCGCAGTGCCGAGCGTCAGCTACGCCCCGCCGAACAAGGGCAGGGCGCTAGCCACCTCCGTCCTGGTGCCCGCGGTGTTCCTGCTGGTCTGGTACGCTGCGGTCAGGTCTCTCTTGTCCAAGGACTCCTGGTCTGCATCCTGCTGCTGCTGCTGCTGCTACTCCACCTCCTCCTCCTCCTCCTCCTCTTCCCTATGACTTGTAGGTCTCACACACAATTTCATGTTGGAGCTTCGCAAGAAGCTAAGGATCAACGGCAAGGCCCCTCAGCAATGACATCGAAATAAATGTTGCGGCATCCCGGGAGATATGGACGAAACAAGGTGGGTCCATGGATACAGATCCTACAGTACTGCGTCATAACGTGGTGTGTTCAAAATCAACCTTCTGACACTGTAGATCCTCACGCGCATCACATACCTTGCAGATCCTTTGCGAACCACACATTTATCGCTCGCGTCTAGCAGTGCAGCGGGCGGGACGGGCCCGTCTTCAGGGGCGCCGCCGAGCGCGCGCGCGCGGCATGTACGAGGGCGCGCTCGACTGGAGCGCGGGACCCCTGGCGCCGAGGTCCGCGCCCAAGAGACTGGAGGGCGAGCGCACTGCACGAGGTTCTTCAGGTCCCCGGCTCGGCGCTCGGCGTCGCCCACCGCGCTCGCCTGCACATATCTGCCCTCGCGTCTCCGCCAGCGACGCCGCGCGGCTGCGCGAGGGTCCAGGCGCGGCGCTCGGCTGCCCTCGGGCGCCCCGCCCGCGGCGGCGCCGCGCCGCGCGGGAGCCGTCTGCCGCAGCGCCTGCTGCGGCGCCGGCGTCTGGCGGACTTCGGCGGCGCGCGGCGCCGAGCCGCCGCGTGCGGCCCGAGGCGAGATCTCGCGGGCGGCGGCCGCGCGGTCCTGCGCGGTGGAGAGCGGGTTGGGGAAGCTCGGCGCGGGCGGCCGCCAGAACACGTTCCGCTGAAGTTCCAGCGGCTGCGACCTCTTCCCCCCCCTAAGCGCAAGCCCGAAGTCGCCTGCATTCTCTGATGCAGATATAGTTTGACACACGGTAGCATCGTTTAACATACGTAACCATGCGTTTATAATCCTTACCATATTCTAATCAACATACACCAACGCGGTGTAGCTATGTTCAGTTCAGCAGCGTCACTAATGAACACAGGCGCTGCAAACTCCAAGGCATGTTAAACCAGATCAACGCCTAGCTAAACCATGTTAAACCAAATGTACAGTGTTAGCCTGCATGGCTACTGCCTGATAAAGCTTAGCAGAGCGTCTGACCGAGTAAGTGCGGGAGGGGGTCTGGGTCAGAACACCGCCCCCCGCGGGGCCTTGGCCGGTCCCGGGGGGGGTCGCCAGCGGGGGCGCCGCCTTCAGTCGGCGGCACCGGCCGCAGGTCTTTCGCAATGTCTCAATGTATCCGCCGATCTGGTGATGTGATTTTTCAAGCTAAAGCCCGAGCTTCAGCTGCGCACTCGCAAGGACGCCGCCGCAATTTACGCGCAATCGCCTCCTCGTGTCCTCGGGAGCGCGAGCGCGTCGCAGTTGACTGCGAGATGTCTTGCCTTAGGTGTGCGAGTCCTGAAACCGTGTCGGGACCTTCGTGGGTTTCTCCTAGGACCCTTTTGGAGCCATCATGAAGCTTCGGAAGGCCGTTGGAAGGCCATCCTGAGGCCGCGGAATTTGCAAGAAATGGCGGGGGAGTCAAAACACGCCCTCCGAACGTACATCCCGATGCAGAAAATCGGCGCTTCTCTTTTCAGGAGGGTGAGTGGCGCTTCGGGGCGGCCCTCCGCGCGGTGGGTTCGGGGCCTCGGGGGCGCAAGCGCGGCGTAATTTACAAGCGATCGTGGCCTCGGGGGCGGGAGCACTGTGTAATTGACGAGGGGGCGTTGCCTCGTGGACGCGAACACCGAGTGATGTGTGGGGTGCCGTGGCCTCGGGGACGCGAGTTCGGTATAATATGTCAGCAGTCGTATCCTCGGGGGCGCGGATGCTATTCAAGTGATTTGAAATAGTGACTTCTGGGACGCTATTGCGCAATTGTGGCCTCGGGGGCACGCGCATGTTATATTTTGCGGGGGGTCGTGGCTTCGGGGGCATGAGCATGGCGTAAGTTACAAAAAGATAACGGCCTTGGATGCGCAACGATTGCGTAATTTCTGATGTGCCGTGGCCTCGGAATTGCTGCTCTCTGCAACAAAGGAATCGTGGGATCGGGGGCGCGAGGGTAACGTAATTTACGCAGGGGTCGTTGCCTCGGGAACGCGCACGCTCCTAGTAGATTGCAATGGGTCGCGGCCTCGGGGGCGCGAGCGTGGCATAAGTTTGCAAGGGATTGTGGCCTCGGAGACGCGACAATTGTAATTGACGAGGGGTCGTGGTCTCGGGAGCGCGAATACTGATTCTGGTTCGATCAAATTGCCATGTATTCGTACGTGCCCCACGGCCACAGGAATTCAGGCAAGGCGAATTGGGGACACTGGCCAGGACAATTTGGGGCTCCACCACCTCGCGCGGACTTCAGACATCCCGAAGATAGAAACCGAACCTGGGAGACATAACGCTGAAACTGAAGCAGTGAGCAGCAAGCTCAAGCCCCGCAGCCTGATGGCCCTGCAAAGGGGCCAGCGGATAGTGTCCCACAGAGATTTTACAGCATACGTCGTTAGCAGCTCACTGTTTGGGGCCGGCGTCGGCTAATGCTTCTTTACAAGGCATCGTGGCCTCGGGAGAGGGGGGCGGCGCATGCACCTCGACGCGACGGGGGGGGTGATCCTTCAGAACAGCACAGAAAGAGACACCCTGGCAGACAGTCGGCTGCGAGCCCAGGGCGGAAGCGAGAGGGGGCAGGCCTTCTCAGAAGTCGGCGGGGCTTCAGAGGGTACGCGTCTGGGTTTTCGAAGCAGGGCTACAGGCCTTTTCATAAGGCCAGGCGGCCCTTGAAGGAAGTGCGCCAGGGGCGTCGCACGGAGGCGCCGCGGGCGCCCGGCGCCGGCCCCAGCAGTCCGCGCGGGCCTCCGACAGTTCATGCAAGTGTAGCGCTTTGTCATTTTATCCTCCTGCTTGTGCTCCCACTCCGAGGCTTCCGTACGTTGGAAGGGGTCCGTTGAGGATCTCGGCCTCCCAGATGGGGTCGGAGTAGATGGGGTCGAAGGATCGTGCCGCATCGCCGCTGCATCGACGATGCGGCTCGATGCGGAGCCCGACTTTCGCCACGCCGACGGCGCCAATGCATCGCGGGCATCGCCGGTGCATCGCCATTGCATCGCCGATGCATCGCCGATGCATCGGCGATGCAGCGCGATTCCTCGACCCCATCTACTCCGACCCCATCTAGGAGGCCTCTATAGGAGCGTGCCCAGGGGGCTTCTGACCCTGCAGGACTCCTTGTCCGATGAAGGCGACATCCATGGCCAGCCCTCAGTAGGTGTTCCACCTGGCTTCCAGGCCCTGGGTTCCTTCTCCAATGTTCTCACCCTGACTCGGAGCAGGTGGCCTCCGGCGCTGCCGCCCAGCGTTGCCGCCTTGCCAGCGGCGGCTGGCTCCGCCGGTCGGGCGGAGGCCGAGCAGCGCGGGCGAGCCGCCATGGTGCGGCGCGCGGCCCACGCTCGGTGATGCCGCTGATTGACGCAGGCCTGCGACCATGGGCTCCTTCGTGGCCGCCCCGGCCAAACATATCCTCGCCGGGGGGAGGGACGAGAGGGGGGCGGCCCTCCTCTGCCCTGCCCCTGGGCCTCTGGAGGCACCCCTCGCGGCCACGGCCCTCCTCCTCCTCCTCCTCCTCCTCCTCCTCCTCCTCCTCCTCCTCCTCCTCCTCCTCCTCCTCCTCCTCCTCCTCCTCCTCCCCCTCCCCCTCCCCCTCCTCCTCTTCCTCGTCCTCCTCCTCCTAAGCTCCAGGGTGTGGTGGGCGCGACCCCCGCCAGCGGCCTCAGGTCGGCCCCCGTCGCGGGCACCACGCCGCGCGCCGGAGGCGCCGCCTCCCCCCAGCGGCGCGAGGCGCCGGGGGGGGCGAGGTCGACCCCTGGTGAGGAGCGTACCCCTCTCCGCGCCCCCGCCTCCTCCGCTGAAGACAGATGCTGGCGCTTGGTCAGCGACTCGCAGGATCCACATTCTGACACCGCCCCGCTCCGCGCCCCCGCCTCCTCCGCTGAAGACAGATGCTGGCGCTTGGTGAGCGACTCGCAGGGTCCACATTCTGACGCCGCTCACGTGCCGCCCCGGCTGCGGAAATTGCCGTGACTCCGTTTCCCACTGCCTGGTTTGCACTCGTCTCCTCCACCTCCTTGATTTCCTGGGTGATTTCGCCTTCCGTCTGATTCTCCCGTTGGCCTCGGCCTCGGGTCGACGAACGTTTCTAATGCAGCTGGAATATCACGTGCCCGAGCGCACGAGGTTACCGCAGTAAGTATCCTTCACAAGCTGAGTGTGACCGTATGACTCAGTCAACCTCACTTGTTCGGCACCTATCGCACTACAGTTCAGGCGCCGCGCTCCGCGCTCCTATCCTGCCAGTCCTCTCAGGATCGCCCTTTGGGCCATCCGCTGTCGTAAGCGGGGATAGGGTCTTCAACCCCGCCCCGTCCATGACAAATCAAGAAGCTCCGAGTGGCCGAGCCCCTCAGCCATCGAGACGCGGAGGGAACCTCAGCGCCACTGTCATTTGAATCAATCATAGAGTGGTTGCATGATTCGTCCCCCTGGGTACGTGGACTCCTCCTCCCCCTCCTCTCCTCCTCCTCCTCCTCCTCCTCCTCCTCCTCCTCCTCCTCCTCCTCCTCCTCCTCCTCCTCCTCCTCCTCCCGGCGGCGCGCGGTCCCAGCGCACTTTGAATTGGTGCCGGCGCAACCCCCCAGTGCTTCGCACCGGCCCCCCAGGAGCAGCCGCCGCCTTACGCCCAGCACGAGGACCCAGCGTCCAAACAGCGGCCGCCCCTGGCGGGGAGGGGGTGCGCCAGCCGGGGCCTATAGCCTTGGCATACCCGGGACCAGGACGTGCAGCCAGAGCGAGATGTAGCCGGCGTCGAGCGCAGGTCGCCCGCGTCCGGCGCCGCCCGCAGCGCAGCAGTGCCCGGCAGCAGCGCCGCCAGCCGCCCGCTCCGGCCTCCACCCCGCGCCGCGCGCCGCCCTGTCCGGCGAGCGCGCGCCCCCGGCCTTCGGCCCCTGCGCGCAGCAGTCCGCGCGCAGCAGCGGCAGCAGTAGCAGCCGCCGTCAGCCCAGCGTCAGCAGCTGCCCGCCCCGCAGCCCCGCGCCGACGCCCAGCGCCGGCGCCGCCCCCTGCCCGGGCCCAGCAGTCCTCCCCGCTCAGCGCAGCCCGGCGGCGCGCCGAAGCTGGCGCGCCACCTGGCGCTGCAGCGCGCAGCTGAGCGCCTTGTAGGCGCGCGCCAGCTCGCCGGGCTGCGTGTCCTCGGGGAGCTCGCGCACCTGCGCCAGCAGCCACTGTCGCGCCTCAGCGCCCAAGCGGCCGGAGGTCTCCAGGGCGAAAGCCGTGAGCCGTTCGCCCGGGTACCTCTCGTGTTTCTCGCGCTCGGCCCTGCGCGTCGCCTCTCCCGGCCGTCGCGCCGCAGCCCGGAGCGCCGTCTCGTCGCCTGCCGCCGGGTGGCGGACCGTCACGCCCACCCACCAGGAGCCGTCCACCTCCGCGTACTGGAGGTCCAACACGGCGCGTTCCAGGACCGGCGGGCCGGGCACTTCTGCTGGCCGCCGCGCGCGGTGCCTATCCCAAGCAGGGACTCGTTGTTCGTAGAGGGGCACGCAGTGGCGCCACCTCCTCCTCCTCCTACCCATCCTCCTCCCCCTCCTCCTCCTCCTCCTGCTCCTCCTCCTCCTCCTCCCCCTCCCTCTCCCCCTCCTCCCCCCTCACGCTCGCCGCGCCTGGCGCTGTGCTTCTTTGCATGAGTGGAGCAGCGCCCAGCGACTGCAATGCGTGCCCTACGCGCCTAGCCGAGACGCTGCGTCGACAACCTGGAAGGCAGGGCCGCTCCCCCTCCTCCCCGCCCGAGCTGGTCCCCCCGATCGCTCTCCTTCAGACAGGGGGGGCGGGGCGCGCGGGGGGCGGGCGGCGAACGGAGGCCCGGGCGGGCCGCGGCATGGGTGGGGGCGTGGGGGGGGGAGAAGGGGCGTGTCGCGTCGACGCGGTGGCGATGCTCGCGCGGGCGTTCGAGGTGGAAGGCCGCTGGCGGCCTGCACTCGGCCAGTAATGAGCGATATTGGTTTCTAGGCCTCCTAGATGGGGTCGGAGTAGATGGGGCCGGAGGATCGCGCCGCATCGCCGATGCATCGGCGATGCATCAGCGATGCGGCTCGATGTGGGGCCCAATTTTCTCCACGCCGACGTCGCCGATGCATCGCCGACGCCGCCAGTGCATGGCCGATGCATCGCCGATGCATCGGCGATGTATCGCCGTTGTATCGGCCATGCGGCGAGATCCTCCGACCCCATCTATTCGGACCCCATCTAGGAGGCCTCTATGGTTGTCAGAGAGCTTCCAAGCTAAACGGCCCACGTGGTGTCAGACATCAGCGCGCAAGCTTTCGCGGCACGAGCCGTCCGTACCCGCCGTCCCCTCCGTGGTTTTCGTGTCCCGCCCCCCGAGGACGAGAAGTTTGCGAACCCGCGTGCGACGCGACGGCCCACGGAGTCAGTGGGCTTCGCGGACGTGGTGAGCCGTTGCAAGGCGCCCTGTGACCTCAGGGGGAGACCGACTCGGGGCATTCCTCCTCTTTCGTTCCTTTTCCTTCTGCGTAGCTCTTCCCTGTTACACACCAGACGTGTCCGTAGGCTGGGTTTCGCTTGAGTCTTCCGTGCGCACTTACCTTCCCAACTTGTTTCAGCAGGTCCGACAACTTCACGGATGGTGGGCCACTTGTTTTCGACATGTAGTTCTTATTTCAGCGTAGCGCACATTCGTCGTATCAGCTACCAGCAGTTGCATCGACGGAGGGCCGCTGGTTTGAAACAGAAGCTCTCGCTTCAGCGCCGTACACATTCTTCTTGAAGTTGTCCAGAATTCACACTAGTGGACGGCTGGTCGTTCTCAATAGATGGCTCTCGCCTCAGCGCCGTGCACCTTCGTTACGAAAGTTTCTAGCAGCTACACACGGGGGGGGGGGGTAGTCGTGTTGCAGTTGCGACTCCGCCTCTTTGCCTCGCAAGTTGTTTACCAGTGTGAGGGGGCCGAACGGTCATTCATTGTCCCTGGGTGCGTGGCTGAAGTGGATTCCACGATGCAGCTGTTTCTTGGTGTCGTTGTTGTTGTTATTGCTGCTGCTGCTGTTGTTTGTTTGTTTGTTGGTTGGTTGGTTGGTTGGTTGGTTGGTTGGTTGGTTGGTTGGTTGGTTGGTTTGATTGTTTGTGTATTGCTGTTGATGGTGTTGCCGTTGTTGTTGTTGTTGTTGCTGCTGTTGTTGTTGCTGTTGCTGTTGTTGTTGTTGAACCCCAATTTCTGAAGAATAACTATTGCTGATCTCCCCTCACCGGTGCATGCTGCTTTTTCTTCGTCAAAGTGTGCCCCTCGACGCTCGCATCCTGTTTGTTGACGAGGAAAGTCTTGGTGCTCAAACTGTGCCCCTGGGCCCCCTGTTTACCACAACAACAACAACAACAACAACAACAACAACAACAACAACAACAACAACAACAACAACAACAACAACAACAACAACAACAACAACGGCTCCCGCTTGAGACCTCCTCCCAATTTAGCCAGGACTCCGCTCCCGCCGGAGACTTCTTCGCATTTTATTCAGGAATCGCGCTCTCGCTTGGGACTTTCTTACAATTGATTCAGGAGTTGCTCTCCCGGCGCTCTGGAGTCGGGCTCTCGCTGGAGACTTGCTTGCAATTTACTGAAGAATAGCACCCTTGCATTTGAATTTCCTCCAACTTACTCTAGCGCCGCGCTCCCGACACCCAGGCACCCAGGAGTCGCGCTCACGCTTAGGACTCCTTCACAGATTACCTAGGAATTGGGATCTCGCTGCCCTCCGTGGCTCCGTTGCAGCCCTCTGTGGCCTCCTCGCTTTGTTTCGTGGCCCCGTTGTAGCCCTTCGTGGCCCCCTCGCTGCCCTTCGTGGCCCCGTTGCAGCCCCTCGTGGCCTCCTCGCTGCCCTTCGTGGCCCCGTTGCAGCCCTTCGTGGCCCCCTCGCTTTGTTTCGTGGCCCCGTTGCAGCCCTTCGTGGTCCCCTCGCTGCCCTTCGTGGCCCCGTTGCAGCCCCTCGTGGCCCCGTCGCTGCCCTTCGTGGCCCCGTTGCAGCCCTCCGTTGCCCCCTCGCTTTGTTTCGTGGCCCCGTTGCAGCCCTTCGTGGCCCCGTTGCAGCTCCTCGTGGCCCCCTCGCTGCCCTTCGTGGCCCCATATATGTTTGCCCTTCGTGGCCCCCGCTCGTTCGCGCCCGTGGTGGCCCCATATGCATGTCCTTCGTGGCCCCGCTGTCGCCCTTCGTGGCCCCCTCGCTGACCTTCGTGGCTCCGTTGCTGCCCTCAGTGGCCCCGTCCTTGCCCTCCGCGGCCCAATATACGTATGCCCTTCGTGGCCCCCGCTCGTTCGCGCCCATTGTGGCCCCATGTGCATGCCCTTTTTGGCCCCGCTGTCGCCGTTTGAGGCCCACCCACTGTCCTACGTGGCTGGTCGTGGATTTGACTACCACCCTGGGCCTTCTCTGCATCATCTGGTGGCACAACGTTGCTCATCGCCTTCGTGGTGCTCTTCTTCTTCCTGGGCGTCGACCTGGTCACGTGGCGCGTCCTCCCCTGCAGTACTTGAGGCTGGTATTCGCGGAGCGCCGTTGACGGCAACAACGCTCCCTTCGTCTTCCGGGACTTCGCCCTCGGTTCCTGTCCCAGGCGTACCTTTTCCTGCACATCCACTTCGGCACCGCCTGTTCCCCGGGCCCCGCCCGCTCCTGGCCGCCTGAGGCCCTGCCTTCATGTGCCTTGTCTCCTTGATTAAAGCTGTGCGTAGCCCGCCTAGCTTTCAGCGGAAGAGGTTCGCTTTCGCCCCGCAAATCAAAAATTGTTCTACGTGGCCCAGTTGCTACCCTCAGTGGCCCCATCGTTGCCTTCTGTGGCCCCGCTCTATCAGCCTTTCCTGGCCCCCGCTCGTTTGCGCTCTCCGTGGCCCCATACGCATTCCCTTCGTGGCCTACTTCGTGGCCTTCGTGGCCCTGCTGTCATTCTCTATCGCTCTCTTTTTCGCTCGTCGTCGTCGTCGTCGTCGCCGTCGTCGTCGTCGTCGTCGTCGTCGCCGTCGTCGTCGACGTCGTCGTCGTCGTCGTCGTGGTCGGTCCCCTGTCCGTCCCTCTTGGGGTCGGGTCGACGGTCCGCGGCCGCCCCGCCGATCAGCGGTTCCGCTGGCCAGGCCGACGGTCCGCGGCCGCCCCGCCGCTTGCCGGGGACCGGCCTGCAGGGAAGAAAGGTATACCCCCCAAAAGGGGTTCGATCGAAGACGAAGAGTGCGGGTATCGAGGGTTTGGGAAATACGCGTTATTGGACACTCGAGCAGATAAGGGCGAACATTATTAAGCTGATTGTTGTTGTTGCTGTTGTTTGTTGTTCGTTTGTTTGTTTGTTTGTGCTTTTATTTGTGTCTTTTTTTGTTTGTTAAACTCTCATTCTTGAAGAATCATTATTGTTGATCCCCCCTCACCGGTGCACATTGTTTTTTCAATTGAAGTGCCCCCCCCGGGGCTCGCACCTTGTTTTTTGTCAAAGAAAATCTTCCTGCTCAAACTGGCCCCTTGCCCCCCGGACTACAACAACAACGGGTCCAGTTTGAGATTCCCTCACAATTTAGCCAGGACCCCCGCTCCCGCACGAGACTTCCTCGCATTTGATTCAGGAATCGCGCTCTCGCTTGGGATTTCCTTACAATTTATTCAGGAATCGCTCTCCCGGCGCTCTGGAGTCGCGCTTCGCTGGAGACTTGCTTGCAATTTACCATAGAATAGCGCCCTGGCGCTGGATCTTGTAATTTACTCAAGCGCCGCGCCCCCGACACCCAGGCACCCAGGAGTCGCGCTCACGCTTAGGATTCCCTCACAGATTACCTAGGATCTCGCTGCCGTTCGTGGCCCCGTTGCAGCCCTTCGTGGCCCCCTCGCTTTGTTTCGTGGCCCCGCTGCAGCCCTTCGTGGCCCCCTCGCTGCCCTTCGTGGCCCCGTTGCAGCCCCTCGTGGCCTCCTCGCTGCCCTTCGTGGTCCCGCCGCAGCCCTTCGTGGCCCCCTCGCTTTGTTTCGTGGCCCCGTCGTAACCCTTCGTGGTCCCCTTGCTGCCCTTCGTGGCCCCGTCGCTGCCCTTCGTGGCCCCGTTGCAACCCTTCGTGGCCCCCTCGCTGCCCTTCGTGGCCCCGTTGCGGCCCTTCGTGGCCCCCTCGCTGCCCTTCGTGGCCCCATATATGTATGCCCTGTGTGACCCCCGCTCGTTCGCGCCCGTGGTTGCCCCATATGCATGCCTTCGTGGCCCCGCTGTCGCCCTTCGTGGCCCCCATCGCTGCCCTTCGTGGCCCCGTTGCTGCCCTATGTGGCCCCGTTCTTGCTCTCCGCGGCCCAATATACGTATGCCCTTCGTGGCCCCCACTCGTTCGCGCCGTCTTTGGCCCCATGTGCATGCCCTTCGTGACCCCGCTGTCGCCGTGTGTGGCCCCCTCACTGTCCTACGTGGCCCAATTGCTACCTTCAGTGGCCCCATCGTTGCCTTCTGTGGCCCCGCATTATCTGCCTTTCGTGGCCCCCGTTCGTTCGCGCTCTTCGTGGCCCCATACGCATTCCCTTCGTGGCCCCCGCCGTCGCCCTTCGTGGCCTACTTCGTGTCCTTCGTGGCCCTGCTGTCGTTCTCTCCCGCTTTCGCTCGTAGTCGTCGTCGCCGCCGCCGTCGTCGTCGTCGTCGTCGTCGTCGTCGTCGTCGTCGTCGTCGTCGTCGTCGCCGTCGTCGTCGACGTCGTCGTCGTCGTCGTCCTCGTCGTGGTCGGTCCCCTGTCCGTCCCTCTGGGGGTCGGGTCGACGGTCCGCGGCCGCCCCGCCGATCAGCGCTGCCGCTGGCCAGGCCGACGGTCCGCGGCCGCCCCGCCGCTTGCCGGGGCCCGGCCTGCTGGGAAGAAAGGTATACCCCCCCAAAAGGGGTTCGACCGAAGACGGATAGGGCGGGTATCGACTGTGTGGGAAATTCGCGTTATTGGACACTCGGGCAGATAAGGGCGAACAGTCTTAAAGTTCTCAACTCAGAAGAATAATTGTGGTTGATCCCTCCTCACCGGTCCATGCTGTTTTTTCTTCTTTTAACGCGTGCCCCTCGACGTTCGCACCCTGTTTTTTTGACAGGGAAAGCCTTCCTGCTCAAACTGGGCCCAACAACGGCTCCCGCCTGAGACTTCCTCCGAATTTGCTCAGGACCTCCGCTCGTGAGACTTCCTCACAATTTACTCAGGTCGGTACTCCCGCCTGAGACTTCCTCGCAATTTAGTCAGGACTTCCTGACAATTTACTCAGGAACGGCGCTCCCGCTTGAAACTTCCTCTCAATTGGCTCAAGATTTCTTCGCAATGTAATCAAGACCCTTGCTCCCGCCAGAGAACCCCACACATGTTATTCAGGAATTGCGCTCTCGCTTCTAACTCCCATGCAATTTATTCAGGCATCGCGCTTTCGACGTTCAGGAAACATGCTGCGCCAAAAACGCCGCTACAATTCACTTAGTAATCGCGCTCTCGCCATACTCATGCATCCCGCCTGAATGTCCCACCCGCCCGACCCGCCCGTCAGGGGATCGCCCGCCCATCGTGGGCTTCCGCCCGAGACTTCCTTCAGGAACGGTGGCTGTGCCTAGGACTTCCTCGAAAGTTCACGTTTTCTCATCTCTTCCCTTTTCTCTCCCTCCTCTCTCCGCTCATCCTTATGCCTCTCTGCCCTATCCTCTCTCCCTCCTCTCCCTCCTCCCATCTCCCTCCCCTCTCCTGCCTCCTCCCTCCCCCTTTCTTTTTCTGTCTGTCTCCCCTCTCTCTCTCTCTCTTTCTCTACCTCTCTTATATGTATGTTTTTTTGTTATTTTGTCCCCCCCCCCCTCTCTCTCTCTCTTAATCAACCGCCCCTCTCTTCGCTCCTTCTCTCCTGATGTTTTCCCTCTTCCTTCGTCCCTCCCCCTCCCGTCCTCCCACTCTCCCTCGTTCTCCCCCTCCTCTTTTTGCAGGGCCCACACCAATTCCAATGGCGGGCACATGCACGCCCATGAAGGATTGTCCGCCCGTTCAGGTTTGCCCGCCTGTCTAGGCCCGCCGCCCCCCGCAAAGAGAAATAATCCCCCCAAAAGGTGTGTGATCGAAGACAAACAGGGCGGGTATCGAGGGTGTGGGGAGCTCGTTTTGAATGGCACACGGGCAAGTAAGAGCGAACAGTCTTAGAATGATTGTTGTTGTTGCTGGTTGTTTGTTGTGTTGTTGTTGTTGTTGTTGTTGTATTTTGGCGTCGTACCCCCCGTGACCCGGCCCGCGACCCACCCGCGACCCTCCCCGCGACCACCCCGCGACCCACCCGCGACCCACCCGCGACCCACCCCGCGACCCATCCCGCGACCCCCACCCGCAACCCACCCACAACCCACCTCGCGACCCACCCGCGACCCACCCGCACCCCCCCCAGGACCCAGCCCGCGACCCACCCGCGACCCACCCGCGATTAACCCCGCGACCCACTCACATTGCTTTAACGAAAAATCGGCGCCTGCGGCGGGCTCGTTGTATACTTTGTAAATCTTAGACGCTTGCGTCGTTTTTTTTTTTTTTTTTTTTTTTTTTTTTTTTTTTTTTTTTTTTTTTTTTTCCTCCATTTTCAGAGCCTCGCAGACTGCCGACGTCCCAGCCGCCCCTTCACTCTTATCCGCGACTGCTGGGTGCTACTTTAAAACGTCCCCAATTGGCCCTGTGCGTTTGTGCGCCTGCGCAGCTCCTGCAGTGAGAGAACTGGACCAGCCTGGCAGATCCAAGCTGCAAGCCACCAGGTGTGCCGTGGTGGCCTTAAGCCCGGTGTTCTTCCGATGGCTCACTGTTCAGTGATGTCCCCTCGGCCCTCCTCCCCCCTCTCCCTCGGCCCCTCCTTGTGTCGTTCCTCGTGTGCGAAGCCAAGTTCAAAAAAACCGAGGAGGAGGAGGGGGAGGGGGAGGGGGAGGGGGAGGGGGAGGAGGGGGAGGGGGAGGAGGAGGAGGAGGAGGAGGGGAGGAGGAGGAGGAGGAGGAGGAGGGGAGGAGGAGGAGGAGGAGGAGGAAGAGTTGGAGGAGGAGGAGGAGGAGGAGGAGGAGGAGGAGGAGGAGGAGGAGGAGGGGGAGGGGGAGAGGAGGAGGAGGAGGAGGAGGAGGAGGAGGAGGAGGAGGAGGAGGAGGAGGAGGAGGGAGGAGGAGGAGGAGGAGGAGGAGGGGGGGGGAAGGAGGAGGAGGAGGAGGAGGAGGAGGAAGAGGAGGAGGAGGAGGAGGAGCTGGAGGAGGAGGAGGAGGAGGAGGAGGAGGAGGAGGAGTGATGCTCCCCCCTCGGCCCCTCGGCCCGGGAAGCCCGCCCGCCTCGGAGGTGGAGCTGGCAGAGATCGTGGACTACCTCAACCGCCCGGAGCGGTTCAAGGAGGCCCGCCGTGCCCCGCTGCGCGTCCCCCCCCCCCCGCCCCCCGCTCCCCTTCTCCGTCGCCCCCCCGCCCCTGTCCCCGCCCTCCACCTCCACCCTCCATCCCCCATCCCCCCCCCCCATCCATCCTCGATCCTCCCCTCGCTCCTCTCCTCGCCCCTCCTCCTCGCCCCCCCTTTCCTCGCCCCACTCCTCGCCCCTCCTCCTCCTCGACCTCCTCTTCCTCCTCCTCCGCCTCCTCCTCCTCGCTACTCCCACCTCCTCGCTTCTCTAACGTCCTCGATCTTTCGTTCTCGCTCTTCGCTCCTCCCATTCCCACGATCCATCCTCACTTCTCCCTCCCTCCTTCCCTCCTCGCTTCCCCCTTGCTCCACCATCATCCCTTCTCCTCCCTGCCTCCCTTCCTCCAGGCCGCCCAAGTGTGGCCAGAGTAATTTGATGGGTTGGAATGTCGCACCTGTTCGCCGATGCTTCGGCAACGCAATCCTGAGCTCGATCCTCTGCGTGCCGACGTCGCCGACGCATCGCCGATGCATCGGTGATGTGGTGCGATCTGCCGAGCCAAGTTGCTCGGACCTCAGTTGAGTGGCGTGCGCTCTTCCTTTCGTGTTCTCCCTGCCTGCGCCCGTTCAAGACCGTTGCCGGGCCCCTCCCTCTTTGTCCTCCGACGGGGGGGGGGGGGCGAGAAGGAGGTGGAGGTGGAGGAAGAAAGAGGAGGAGCGGGAGGGGTGGGGGAGATGAGGAGGTGTTGAGTGTTACTGCCGACCCCCGAAGATCCTCGGAGACCCCCGGCGGCCCCCAGAGGACTTCGCCCCCCAGTGCGCACACGAATCAGAATTAGCTGAAGGACCATCCTTGATCCACGTCGAATCCTCGATGGTGCTGATGGTGATGGTGATGATCATGTTGTCATCGACGGTGGTGATCTGATGACGATGGCGATGCTGATGATGACCCGATGATAATGATAGTGGTGATGATGACGATGATGATGGTGATGATCACGCTGACGACACTGACGACGACGATGCGCTTGTTGATGATGATGATGACGATGCTGATGATGATGATGATGCTGACAAGACGGACGATGATGATGCTGTGGCTGCTGTTGATGCTAACGACGATGATGCTGATGCTAATAGTGATGCTGCATATGCTATTGGTGATGCTGATGATGCTGATGATGCTGATGCTGATGACGATGATGATGCTGATGATGCTGATGGTGATGATGATGATGATGATGACGATGATGACAATGCGGAGGAGGAGGTGAAGGAGGAGGAGGAGGACGAGAAGGAGTGGGGAACGTGATCCAACAGTTCACTGCGAAAATAGCCGCGACTGTAGCAGGGTGCGGTCTCGAGTTGCAACCGTTTTGATGGATACCGAACGGGCATGCGTCGATTGGGAGCACCCCTCAGAGTCGTCGATGCTTCCGGCCACCAAACAGCGGCGTGATTTGGCCCGCCAATTTCGACCCCAGAGGAGGACGACGGTCAGCATTGTTTCATGGCGCCAACATCGCAGAGCGGATTTCGTTCGGCAAACTGTAGGATAAACCCGGAGTTTCCTGGATAATTTTGTTGTGGATTTCGAAGAAGACCTCGTGCGGATTATCTTTGGCCAGGAGCACTATAAAACGTCCACGTGAAAGTCACTTCGTTTTTCCCTCGCCTTTTTGTGTTTTTTTGCATTGACCGAAATCCACGCAACAATCCGCTGCAGCACGTCTGCAAGATCGAAGCAGTGAGTTGTTTGGCCTGTCCCCATCCCCGGTAGGAGAGCCTCGGCCTCGCTGTCCGAGCCAACCCCCTGGGGGCGTGGATGTTGGACCATCTCAACTGGGCCTCGCGGCATCCGGCCCCACCTCGAGGGGGCAGGCTGTTGGCGCAGAAATCAGCCCGGCCCGCGGGGGATGGGGACATTCGTGGGATGCAACCGCTACCCATCGGTCGTTGAAAGTAGGTTTTTGGGACTCCCAGATTCCATTCTACTTCAAGCGCCTTCCTACTTCAATGGTCGAGTGGCTTCACCTTTTCCGTCCCCTCTAAGGGGCGGGCGGTCATGCAATCTTTTATTCGACGCCTTCCTACTTCGTGTTTCTACCTACTTCTCTCGACCGATGGGTAACCCTAGACTAACCCGCATCCCCCCTATCAGAGGAGATTGCAGCCAAGAGCTTTGGCTTAGCGTGTCGCGCCGCCAGTTTTGGCCCAACGCGCTTCGACGCGACACGCTATCCACTGCCTGGTTCTCAGGCGTCAACGTCCCGAGCCTTTCCCAGCCTCCCGCCACGCAGAGGTGAGCGACACGTTCTCCGCTTACAGTGCATAGCATGTCGTTGGGGCCACCGCCGCGACACGCGAAGCAAACATTCCTGACAGTATAACGCTTCTGGTACCGGGGCCAGGGCGGAAGTGATGTGCCCCGCAGAGGCTCGCGAACCAAGACCTTTTATTGACCGCTCTTGAGGGAAGGGCAGGACGAGACGGGAGGAGAAGGGGCGGGAGGAGATGAGACGGGAGGAAATGAGAGGAGGCGGGAGGAGGAGTAGGAGGAGGAGGACGAGGAATGGAGAACGGCAAGGGAGGAGGAGGAGGAGGAGGAGGAGGAGGAGGAGGAGGAGGAGGAGGAGGAGGAGGAGAAGGAGGATTGAGTGGGCAACGGGAGGATTAGGAGGAGGATGGGGAGGAGGACGAGGAGGAGCAGGAGGAGGAGAAGGAGGATGAGGAGAAGGAGGAGGAGGAGGAGGAGGAGGAGGAGGAGGAGGAGGATGGCAGTGTCTGACCGTCACCATTGCCACTGGCGTTGAGCTCTGGGGAGGGGGAGGAGACACGGGCGACGGGAAGGCCTGCCCAGCTCCCCCTCGCTGCCCTCGTGGCGACACGACGCCCCGACGCGGCGACGGCGACGGCGGCCCGCGGCCCCGGTGCGGCCAGGCGGGCGCCCGCATGCCGCGCGGCGCCCTGCTGGTGGGCCCCAGCGGCACGGGAAAGACGCTGCTGGCGCGCGCGGTTGCCGGCCACCCCGGGGGCCGAAGAGCCCTCGCCGTCGTCCTCGTCTCCGTCATGAGCTGCAGAGGATCGAGGAATCGGCGGCGAACGAGGGGGGAAGCGAGGATGAGCATGTCCTCTCAGGAGGTGGCGGGGCTTCTCAGAAGCCCTCGCGCCTTCTGGAGAGACTTCTGTCTGTTCGGTGGAGGCTTGGAGACCTTCTCAGAAGGCTGGAGGACTTCCGAGCCCTCCGAGAAGGCCCACCTCTTCTCACTTTTCCCCCCGGGCTCGCCGCCAGAAGAAGGAACGCTTGCATAAACATCTTGGATCGGCGCTGAGCCCCAGTGGCGGCGCACCCACGCTTCGGGGGCGCCAATCGCGGATCCAAGTAATCCGCGCGGATCTCCTCAAGTTTAGGTTTGTCTTTCTTGTTTCTTCAATGAGTACAGAGGAGGCAAATGGTACCGCTGCCGCTACCTGTCCCCCGTCGCCACGGCTGGGTTCTCCTCGAGATCCTGGTCAGAGCGCGCGCCAGGATGAGTCCGGGAAATTGCGGTCTGTATTCAGAGGTTCTTATTGTTTTTCTGAGGAGCTGGTTCTGACGGGCGGTCTGGCGGCTGTGTCGCCGCCGTCGCCGCCCGTCGCGGTTTCGTCGCCGTCCGTCGTATTGGCTTGACGGCCAGTCTGGCGGGTATGTCGCCGCCGTCGCCGCCCCGTCGTCGCCTCGTCGCCGCCCGTGGTCTGGGCCTGACGACCAGTCTGGCGGCTATGTCGCCGCCGTTGGATTCGCTTTCCATAAAAAATAAAGGATATTATCCCCCTGGACTTAACAAGTAATTGTTTCCGTATTGCAATTTGCATATGATTCTGCCATATCGTCCATCCGAAATGTGGGCTCATACCATCCCAGGCAGCGCCCCCCCCCCATCCTTTGCAAACAACACTATGCGCGTGCACCCGTTTATCCAAATCACCGCCCGCCAACGGTCCCTTACAACAAATGGGACGAAGTGCGCGCGCGCCGTCGCGCGCATGTCGAAATCCTTGAAACACTGTCAGGTTTCGCAAGGATTTCAGAATCTTGTGCCCCGAAAGCGTATGAAACACCAATGGTTTCGCAACAAGGCTCTTCAATCAAACATGCGCCCGGGCTCTTTGCGAATTCTTATGGAAACCATAGGTTGTTCTCCTGACCGTCAAATTATACCACATGCGCTTCTCGCACGCGCATGTTTACATCGTTTGAACGCCCTTTTGCGCGTGCTGTCGCAAAAATCTCGGTCAACAAATGGGACGACATGCGCGCGCGGATCGTCGCGCGCGCATGCCGCAATCTTTTTCAACAGCCGTTGGTTTCGCACGGATTCTAGCATCGAGTGTCCCGGACACATGTAGAAAACATTTGGTTTTGCAACATTAGTTGTCATAAGAGTCAGCGCGCGCTCTCGTGCGAATTTTCCAGAACCGCTAGGCTTTCCACATGTTCATGCAAGTCGAGCACGCGGGCCTCGCGCGCCGCATGCCGAAATTAGTTGAATGCCCTTGCGCGCGTGCTTGGAGAGCGCGGTTCCGGTCAAATAATACCATGCGGGCCACTCGCGCGCGTCGGCCGCGCGCGCATGCCGAACGCTGTCCACCACCTCCATCGCCGACGCGAGGACATCGTCATCGTCACCGGCGGGCGCGATCACCATCGGCGCCGTCATGGGCCTTGCCGTCGTCATTGTCACCATTGCTACCATCATTGTTATGATCATCGCAGCGTTTACCCATGTCGGCATCGCCATGATACCGCGGCCGCCCAAGCCACCAGCTCGCAGTGAAGTGCCTGCCGGGAAGGGCCCAGCGGTCAGCGCCAGCGCGGCCGCGTCGGTCGCGCCAACCTAGCTGGCCGCTGCGCGCGCAAGTGTGCGCGAGCCAGCGGGGCCGCAAAGATGCATCAGCCATCGCCAAGAACTCATCGCAATCGCTGGCGCATGGGATGTGCAAGCCAAGTTTCGGGCGGGCGGGTGGGATGATTGCGCGGGTCGTGGGGTTGGCAACTGCGAGCTTCACAGGCGAATTGCGCCGCATTTTTTTCCTCGCCCCAAGCTCGTGTCGGATCTACCACCGTCCCCCAGGTGTCCACTGGGGATGTGCATTTTTTTGTGATGCTGCCTGATCGTTTATTCTCATTGTTGTTCATCTCACCCCAGTCGGACAGGATTCGACTCCCCTGCTCCCCCCTCGCCGATCCCGCCCCCCTCATCATCGTCAAGGAGTTTTACGTGCGCACATTTGTTTATCACGAATCACAGAGTTAGTTGCAGGACTTCGACGCACAATAGCGACAAAGTCCACGCGCCCTTCGTTGCGCGGGCATGCCCGAATCTGCCGGCAACCTCAGGTTCTGCGCGGAATTCAAAACCACACTTTCCAGCAACCGAAACCAAGGGCGCTGCAACGTGAATTTTCCAAAACAGTGCGCGCGCGCTCTTGCGAAATCGCATGAGCCCCGCCTTTTTTACCAACGTGCTCATCAAGTGCAACCAAGCGGGCCTTTCGCGCGCGCGCAGGGGAATCAACTAATAGGGCGCAGTGCACGCGCGCGCGTCGTCGCACGCGCATGCCGGCATCCTTCAACAACTCTAAGTTTATCGCGGATTGCAAAAGCGAGCGCCCCGAAAACAATAAGCACGCGCACATGGTCTTGCAACAGCAAAGTTAAACATTCTTGCGTTCGCGCTTCTGCAAATCCTTTATTCAATCATCGGACTTCCAGCATCTTTGCTACATTCGGCCAAACGGGCCCTTCGCGCCGCACGTCGAAATCATTCGAACGCCCTTGCTCGCGTGCTGGGGGGTGGGGTGTGTGTGTGTGTGCACGATCCGTGTCAAACACTTCTACGCCGGCCAATCTGGCGCGTCGGCCGCGCGCGCAGGTCATCGTCGACAAGAGGGCGCCGTCATCGTCGTCGTCGCGATCAGCATCGGCGCCGTCGCTGGCCTTGCCGTCGTGGTTGTCGTGATTGTCGCCAGCGTCGCCACCGTCATCATCGCGTCCACCGTTCTCGACGTCATCGTGATACCGCGCGCGCCCAAGTCGCCGGCTCGCACTGATGTGCCCGTTGGGAAGTGCCCAGCGGTCAGCGCCACCGCGGCCGCGTCGGCGGCGCCGAACTATGTGGCGCTGCGCGCACGAGCATGCTAGGGCCAGCGCGGCCGCAGAGATGCGCCAGCCAACCCCATGCACTCATCGTGATCGCCGCCGCATGCGTTTTGCAACCAAGTCGCGGGCGGGCGGGTGGGATGATCTCGCGAGCAGTGGAGTGGACAACTCACTGCGAACAGAAATTGCTATCATCACATAGGTTGTCCTTTCTAGATATGAAATCGGACTTACCCCCCGGCTTTACCGGTTCTCCTTGGGATCGTACAATTTGCTGCGATTCTGCCCCATCGCCCATGTCAAATCCGATTTCGCACCCCCTCGTCCTTGACAGTTGATATTACTCGCGCGCGCTAGTTTACCCCGCATCATCAGTTTCCAATGATCCACAGACGCGCGGCGACGCGCGCGGATGCCAGAGTCGATGCACATCCTTCGATTTATAAGGACTTCAAGAGTTGAGGTTCCCAGAGTGAGCGTTCAAAAGAGTGGGTTTCCAGAGTGAGTGCTCAAAAGAAATTTGTGCGCGCTCTTGCTAAGTCCTATGATCATGGTCCGGGTATCTCAGCATTTGCATCGCGCACGACGTAGGTTACACTGCATAGGTTGTACCACAAAGCTTACACTGCATTTTTTGCATCATATTGCACCACATAACGTGCTGGAACACACCGTCTGGAGTCCACGCGGGCCAACATCGTAAGTATGGTGTATTATTGTGATGGGACGCCTTCGCCTCCTGACTCGCCCCATTCCTCCCTCTGGTCGCATTCAGGTCACTCATACTCGGATTCGCTCACATTCAGAATCTCTCACACCAAGATCCACTGATATTCAGATTCGATCTCGCTCACATCCACTGATTCGCAGATTTGCTCATTCAGAGTCACCCATAGACAGACCACTCCCATCCAGATCCACTCATACCCAGCCAATGCACACCCAGACTCATAACACACATACCTCCCACAACATGGGCATTCACACTCACATTTTGATCACCGCGGCATTGCAGGGGTGGCAGTTGGGCAATCCAAGGGGGAGCCGCCAGAAGATGGGTCACATTCCACTTTGTTCGACCACGTCGCGGTCGGCCGCGTTCGCTCGGCTCGGTTCGGTCGGTCATTGCAGCGCCGCTGCGCCCTTCCGGTTCGCCTACGGCCTCTCGGCCCCGGTCGGTCTCGGGTTTTCTGTCGGTTCGGCCGGCGTTCGGCTGTGTGCTGCCGCCGAAACCGGCACTCGATTGGCGAACGTGGAGTATCCAGGTCACCCGCGGGGGCGCGGAGATGATCGCGCATCGCGCGTCGCGGCCTGGGCCGGGGAGCTTCCCGTCTCCAGGGGCGGCGGCGCGGGGGCGCGAAGACGATCGCGCGCAGCGCATCGCGGGGCGCGATGCGCGGGACCACTGCGGGGAGGAACAATCAGATGGCAACTTGCCCTCGCGCAGCTTCGCCTCGCCCGCAGGCGCGTCACGCGTGACACGAACTGAAACCGACATCGACTTCCCGGTTGGGAGGCTCCCTTCCACGTCGATCTCACCCCACAATTTCCGATCGGGAATATTGTGAGTCTAAGGTTGAGTGAGGTTGAGTATCGTTTAGTCTGAGTATGAGCGCGTCTGAGTGCGGGTGGGTTCGAGTACGTACGAGGCTGAGTATGGGTGGATATGTGGACGAGAGGGTCTCTGCCCGAGCCCCGTGGGCCCGCGGGCCGCAGCATGGTCGCTGCAGGTGCGGACCATACTGTACTTCTGAAGAGCGACGGGACGGCCGTGGCCTGCGGCGCGAATGACCGCAGCCAGTGCGACGTCCCGGCGCTGGGTGGAGGAGGCCTGAGTTACACGCAGGCCGCTGCTGGATCCGATCACACCGTGTTGTTGA